AATTTCGTATTATACAGTATTTACAGTATAAATTTTTATAACATATAAAAATCAGATTTTCCTTAACTGAAATTTTGCCGGAAATGGGGCTTTAATATTTAATTGTAATAGGGTTTTTAAGTTTTGACTTCAAATTTTAAATAATTGTAAAAATAAATTATTGCACTTTTTTATATTTCATGTGAATTTAATTTTTTTTAAATTGAACTTTTCTCTTCATGCTGCAGATAATTAACTGTTCTAACTGCAGATTCATATTGACATGTTTTTTTTGTTTTGTTTTGTTTTGTAGAAGGCCCCTTTGTTTAGAGTTTTAAAAATTCAAAGGGCATGTGAATTGGTGAGGAAATTAATTACTCTAATTTTCAATTAATGTTAATAATTTGTTTAAACGTCAGTGAATATTGTTTTGTACCACGCAACATATTTTTTCCCGACTTTAAATTCCATTTCAAATATTTTAATTTTAACAAAGTCCCAAGGTTTCTGAATTGCAAAACATATGGCACATAATTTCCCTAATATTGAATCCCGGCGCGATGGACCTTTCGGTTTTTAATTAACTCAGTTGCTGGTAGAATTTTAATTGATCAAATGGAAGGGAAAACCTGAAATTGTGGGGATCTTGGTTTGCTACTATTCCTAGTTGTATTTTCATTTTTTATGACAAATGGCAAAGTATTCTTCTGGCAGCTAACAGTTACAAGAGCAAGTGGGTGACAGTGTGTGTTTATATTATAAAATCGACCTCGAAATCAAATCAAACTTTAGTCGTGCCATTCATAAAATACAATGGAAAAATCATCTACCTTGTACAAAACTTTGATTAAAAGAGTAATAAAATCATATAAAAAGTATTGCAGAATCGATGAAAAAAATTCCACAAAAGTTTGAGGTGATCCCAAATTATAGAGGGCAGCAATCATCTCTTTAATAAATAAATAATATATATATTAATATATATTAGTTTTTTTTTAACTACTTACCGCATGTCAATAATTGTTCCGTAATTACATTACCTATTGTCTTTCTGAAATCAATTCCTCTCTACATAGAGCAAATTTGCTCTATGCTCTCTTAGAACTGGTCTTGTTTACTGTGCCAACATACGCTTTTGAAACGGGTAATTACAAATAAAATATCAAAGTTTTATGTAGGTGAAGCATGCACCTACACAAACACTGACAAAAGAAGCACTGAAAAAAAGAATATAAAAACCTAATATGTTGCTAACTTCTACTGAGAGTCAGATCTGCAAATAACTTAAAACTACCAGCTAATTAATAATAATGTTTCTATACGAATAATTATGAACGATATTATTAATTTCAACATAATCGACTATAATTGCTGTCGTAAGTTTTACAGGACAATAGAGGGCGTTGTAAGTTCTCTCCGAAGCTCTTA